TGTGTCTGGCTTATTTCACTCAGCATAATGTTTTCAAGATTTATCCATGTTGTAGCATTTGTCAGTACTTCCTTCTGTTTTTAATTATGGTAAAAATATATCTATATGACAAAAAATTTGCCATTTCAACATTTTTTGCACGTATAATTCAGACATTAATTACATTCACCATGTTGTGCAGCCATCACCACTATCCCTTTCTAATTGTTTTCATCCCCCTTAATAGAATGGTCCTTTTTAATGCTGAATAATATTCCATTGTATGGATATACCTAACGTAAATATCCATTCATCAGGTGATAGACATTTGGATTGTTTCCACTTTTGGGCTACTATGAATAATGCTGCTATGAATATTGTTGTGTGCTGTCTAGTTGATTCTGTCTGGGAGTAGAATCAGAGAGACCCTATATGACAGAGCAGAACTTCCCCATAGGGTTTCCTGGCCTGTAATCATTATGGGAGCAGATCACCAGGTCTTTTCTTCTGCAAAATGGCCTGGTGGGTTCGTACTGCTGACCTTTCAGGTAGCAGCCTAACGCTTAATCATTGTGCCACCAGGGACCCTTGCTATGAATGTTAGTGTATACATTTTTGCATGAGCATATGTTTTCATTTTCTTGGGTATATACCTAGGAATGGAATTGCTGGGTCATATGGTGACTCTATGTTTAACCTTTTGAGGAACTGTTAGACTGTTTTCCAAAGTAGCTACACAATATTACGTTCTCACCAGCAGTGTATGAAGATTCTGATTTCTGCACATCCTCACAAATACTTGTTATTATCTCTATTTTTGATTATAGCCATTCTAGTGGGTATGGGGTGACATATCATGTGGCTTTGATTTGCATTTCCCTAATACTGATGATCTTGAGCATCTTCTCATTATGCTTATTGGCTGTGGGTATATCTTCTTTGGAGAAACTGTCTATTCAGATCCTTTGCCCGTTTTTTAAACTGGGTTGTTTGTCTTTTTATTATTGAGTTGTAAGAGTTTTGTATATATTATAGATACAAGTTCCTTATCAAATACATGATTTGTAAAATTTTTCTTTTATTCTGTGGGCTGACTTCTCACTTTTCTTATGGTGTCCTTTGAAGCATAAATGTTTTAGATTTTGATGATGTCCTAATTATTTATGTTTTCTTTGTCTAATGTACTTTCAGTGTAATACTTAAGAAACCATTGCCAAATTCAATATCATGAAGATTTACTTCTTTGTTTTCTGCTAAGTTTGTTATAGTTTTAGCTCTTACATTTAAGTCTATGATTAATTTTGAGGTAATTTTTTTTTGTCTTTTTTTTTTATTGTACTTCAGGTGAAGGCTTACAGAACAAAAGCGTTTCTCATTTAACAGTTACTAGACATGTTGCCCTATGACAATGGTTAACAATCTCACAACACATCAACAATATCCTTACTCAACCTTGGGTTCCCTATCATCAGCTTCCTTGTCCCCTTCTGCCTTCTGGCCCTTGTCACTGGACTCCTGTACCTCGTTAGTCTCATTTCGTTTTCTGGGGCTGTGCACTCCCAGGCTG